CCATACCCTTTTATGTAATGATGTTTACTTTGAATTTATATTACTTCACACAAACACTCCATCCATGCTTTTGTTCCGGCCCTCCGGTCCAGTTTAAGAACCCATTGTGGCCCTTGAGTCAGAAAGTTTGCCCACCCCTGTTCTATACCATGTTTTTCTTCCCAGAAAATCAGGAAAGTGGTAGTTTGCTTCCTCCATAAAAGTGGCCCCTATGCCAGGAAACCATCCTAAACTAAAGTCGCCCCTAAGTGCCTAGTGCTCTTAGCATCTCCAAATCAACAGATTTCCACTCTGTCTGGCTGAATAGTTATGACATTACTTTTTGTTGTTGTTATTGTTTGTTTTTTTGTTAATCCTTACCTGAGGATATTTTCCCCATTGATTTTTTAGAGAGAATGGAAGGAATGGGGGGGAGAGAGAAAAAAAACACAAAACATCAATATGAGAGAGACACATCAATTGGTTGCCTCCCTCATGAGCCCCCATCAGGCCAGGGATGGAGCCTGTAACCAAGGTACATGCCCTTGACTGGAATCAAACCTGGGACCCTTTCAGTCCGTGGGTCAATGTTCTAACCACTTAGCCAAACCAGCTAGGGCAGTTGTGACATTACTTTTTGGAGAAGAAGAGGAAAAAAACTTTCCTCTTACTAATTCCTTAATTCAAAATAATTTCATGGCACAAACGGAAACCTCGTGTAAACAGGCCGCCTGTCTCCAAATGCGTGGCTGACAACAGATCCTTTTTCGCTTACAGAAAGCAGAAGTGCCAGGGTTTGAAAGGTAGTGGAGAAGGGAGTGAGCCATTTGAGAAAAAAAAAACGAGGTGCAGAAAAATAGTCCAGAACCCCTGAAATAAATTACACTATTGCATACTTTTGACACTGTTTATCTTGAACCCTATGCAAACAAATGGAAGTTTATGCAGAATTTTTCTCATGGGCAGTCATGCGGGCTCGGCTATTTCCATAAACATTCCTTTGAATAGAATAAAATCCACCAGTTGATGAAAAAATTATTCGTTTTGATTTTGATTGTCCATTCACAGGTCACATTTTCATAAAATAACTTTGTCCTCAGAAGATATGTGGACAGAGATAGGATGGCGTCTAGAAAACTTTTAAGGAAACCTCTGGTCCTGTGAGAGCCAAATAGTCTTAATGTTTTAGCACCAATAAGTGCTAAGATCTCCGTTAGGAATCGGAAGCATGTGACCCAGAGCAATGCTACAGAGGTGAAATTAGCAAAGTTTCCGGCGGGGTCTCAGTGTCTGGTGGGAGACAGAAGGTAGCTTGCCTTTGAGTTCTTGTAGGACAGGGTTTGCTGGCGTGCCAGCCAGCGTGCTGGCCCCCCTTTGTGGATAGTATGCATGATTTAAAAGAAGCTTTGTCAGCACTGATTTATACTTTGACAGCTCAGGATATTAAGATATGGGCAAACATACCGCTCACCCTTTTACAGATTAACCTGGAGACTGCATTAGGCAAATTTGAGAGCATTAAAAGATTTTGCCAATTTGTCTGGAAACAATTTCTCTTTCGTAGTGTGTCAAGGGTAACACTCCATGCTATTGTCCTCTTTTAAATGGCTTTGATAAATCGCCTGAAAGGTTAGAGAATAGTCGTGTAGATATATATTTAGCACTTTAAAATAAAAAAAGGTTATTCGCTTAATCGTTAAATGAATTTAATCTGTAAAAATCAAGAGCGCTCGAAAATGTGTTTCCTTGGAACCGCAGCCGCCGTATTATATCATGGGTCTTTAAAATCTTCTTAAAAATAAAATCATACTTCTGCATTACTTCCCAATAAGTAGAATGCTTTGGGCTATTACAGCAGCATGAATAGTAGCTATTATTTGGGGAAAGCCTTCGTTGACAAAAGCAATAAAATTGCATCTTCTCCGGAGTTTGCCTGTTTTTTAATATGGCATGTCCTAGATTGTACCATTTGCATGACATCAAGAGAGCCTCCTGTATGATTGTGTCCCCTGGAGACCCTCGTGAAATGAGATGTATATTTCATGAGACATTGTGGAGGTACATAATTTCTAAAGTAAGGAATTCAAAGAGGCCCCTCTGGATTCACTCCCTGCACTTTTTTTCCAGTAGTTTTATGAGAGAAACGGCGATTCTGTGGGAATGTTTAAACAGTGGTTGTAAGAACAGACCTCGGATATGAATTAGCCCTTTGGGTGAATTCTGAGCTGGAAACAAGGACGAGATGCAGTCGTCCTCTGATCACAGTCTTGCCCCTGCACAGCTTCACGTGGAGCTGACAACCCCTCTGATCATTTCATCAAACATCCTGCTTCTATCCCACGTGAAGCATTGAAATACTTTTTCTTCACTGGAATAATATCGCTAAGCACCAAGCTACTAGATTTAAACACTGCTTATTAGGGAAAAAAAAAAAAGGATAGGACAGGTAGGATTTACTACTTAACCGTTCATTTTAACAAAGTAAATTCCTTTGTGTAAATAAGGAAGTTTTAATTCCAAAAACAAGTGGCAGGAAAAAGCAGACTTAACCAAGTTTGGAGCAGCCTATTTCTTTTCCCTCCAATCTTTGAACTTTAACAAACTGCAAGAAAAGATTCATTTGTTTCAATTTTGTGTTATTTACGAGGAACTGATACAGACTTTTAACTTTTTACCTTAGATATAGGTGGCGTTTTCACGCTGCTGCTGCAGTATATGTTTTGTAGGGGTTTGGGCTGAAATTAGCATCTTTGAGAAAAACAAAAATGGTTATTGATTTCCTAATATTTTAAACACTTATGTCCTGGAGAGTGGTATCACTCAGGAAGTTCCCTCACTGAAAAGGATGCCGTGTTTACAGGGCAGGGAATTCGTATATAATGATAAACAATGCAAATTATGAGCATAGTGATGCTTAAAATAGAACAACTGCTGGCTTGCTACGTGGATTCCTGGTTGGGACTGCGGGAAGATCAATGGGACCTCATTTCTCTTTCTTGATTTGGAGTTCTCGAAGGAAAACTGCTTTTAAAAAGGAGAAAATCTAAAAGTAGTCTCGCTCTTTCTTGCCAAGGATAGTGAAATTAACATGCAGCTGGGCTTCTCTGATAAATGGATTCTGTTAGGTCACTGAGGGGGTGCGTGTGACATTAAGTGATTTACAGTCCTTTACCTTAATGAAATTGTTTCAGCAAGATGACGCTGAAAGCTCTTAATGGATAGCTTTTCTTGATGTAATGAAATTGCATTCCTATGGCATTTAATATAAGGTGCAGTTATTATTTACAGGAGCTCTCCAAGGGCTGCTATTTGCACAGACAGTTCAGAACAAAAAGAGATTTCAGTGGCGGGCGGCATGGAGGCCAGAATGGCTCCTGACATTCTAAAGCCGATGAGTGTATTTGGGAGAGCATTTCAGTTCCTGCAGGCTGGGCTTCTTAGTCCCTTCACGAGACTTCCTTCCCCTCACCCCGCAAGTCTTCAGCCTTTTACACATATCCTCTCATCCGTTTAACAGGCAACTGGATTACAACCAGATCAGCTGTATCGAAGATGGGGCGTTCAGGGCTCTCCGGGACCTGGAAGTGCTGTGAGTACCTCTGATTTCTCTGACTTCTTACGAGAGCTTTGTCTCGGGGG